CGACTCATACTCACTCCTCCACCTCTCGACCTAAAGAGGCCACACACACACACAAATACCATCATCTCGCGTCACCAACATCGGCGACTCATACTCACTCCTCCAACTCTCGACCTCGTTGGGCCACGCACACACACAAGCATTTCCACCTCCCGTCACCAACACCCGTGACTCATACACTCTCCTACACCTCTCGACCTTGTTAGGCCACACACACACACATATCACCTCCTCACGCCACCAACATCGGCGGCTCAAACCACCCCCACCAACGGGCTCCAAATCTCCCATCCCAAACCGCACGCTCCCATCTACCCTTACACCATGCTAATCCCAAGTGCTCTACACTATTCGCCGCCCCCCCCTTTCTCTAACTTACTAACCCCTACTGTTCATATTACTCCTCTTCTCTCATCCAAACCCCCTCAAATCCTGATTCCTAGTCCCCTCTACCGTACCTTCCAGCCCCCTTCCCTCTCCTACCGCCCCCTATGTACCACCTCCCCTATCCTTCTGCCTCCTCTCGTTTCCTCTACACTTTTGCCTACCTAGGGCGGTTAACCTCTCAGCTTGCACTGTCTCACTCCATACACACGCCCTTACCACCGCGCACTTCGGGGAAATACGTCGCCTCCTATTAGCGACTCCCTCCACGCCCCCACCCACGCACACACCTCTTTCTGTCATCTCGGGTTTTTCTCCCACCCGCGCTCCCTAGATTATCCTCTCACATCTTCCTCACTCTGTTCTACCCGCACCACCCCCATCTTTACCCACGGCTCCCCGCACGCCTCCAACACCGCCATACTTTCATTTCCTCCCCCGGTCTCCTCCGTGAGCGTGCGGAATAACCCCACGCTTTACGGCCTACCTTCACCGCTCAACTCCGTCGCGCCATTGCCGACTCCGCAACCTGCAACAAAAACTCACCACACACACACCACACCAAACAGCTCAAATTTTCACCGTACTTCCCGTTTCCATCTTCCTTCTTCCTGCCGGTCGCGTCGTCCGTCCACGGCCTCCTTCCCTCTCCCTTCTCGCTCCCCTCCGCCCCGACTCTCTCCTCTCTCCTTCTGGAACTTTCCTTCCCTTCTTCTTCTCCGCTCCCCTCTTTCCCTCCTTTTCTCTCTTTTTTCTCTTTTTTTTCCTTTCTCTTCTCCCTTTCCCGACCTCCCTTTATACCCTGCTAGCCTACCCAAAACGACGTAGTTTTCCATCAATATTTGCATGGCTAAGAAGTCGATCAACTAATAGTGCTTTTAATAACGGATAAAGTGCGTTCTCAAGTAACTCTATTGGTTCTTGATATACCTTGATAGATATGACCAATATGAAGAAAATCTTGCATAAGTATGATTTTTGGAACCCCTCATGCAATGTAAAGGGGACAAGGCTCCGGGTCTAATGGCTTCAACATGGGTTTTCCATAGAAGTTTTGGATAGTGATTAAAGACGATATAATTGACCTCTTCAGAGCGTTTCAAGATTCAGGTTCTTCTATCAAGAGTTTGAATTATGCTTTTCTGTTCATCCCAAAGATTGAGAGGACTATTAAAATTAAAGATCTTATGTTAGTCAGCCAAGGTAGTGGAAGGGTGGTTAGTGAATGTCAACATGCCTTTGTTGGGGGGAGGGGGACAAATTATTGCATGCGGTTTTAATTGCCAACAAGGTGACAGATGACTTGTTGTATAAAAATGATGTTTTGTGTAAGGTTCACATGGAAAAGGCATACGACCATGTGAATTGGGGTTTTTGAGCTAAGGGGTTTTTGAGCTAAATGTTGAGTAGAATGGGTTTTGGGCTTAATGGTGGAAGTGGGTTATGTTTTTTGCTTTTTTCTTTTTCTTTTTTGTTGTTTTACTGAACAAGGGATCATTTTCTTTTTCAAAGCTTCTAGAGGTCTTAGACAAGCAGACCCCCATCTTATTTACTCTGTCATTGACATGGTGGTTTTGAATAAAACGTTAAAAGATTCTAGAGATCTTGAGATGTTTAGGGGGTTTTTAAGGTGGGAGACAAGGTGGAAGCAGAAGAGGTGACTTTTCTACTTTTGTGATGACACACTGTTAAATTGTGAATGAGATGCCAGTGCTGTTCTTAATATCAAATGTATTCTTCTAAGCTTCAGTAAGTTTTTAATCTTTTAATGTTAGTCTAGATAAGTCTTAACTGGTGAATCTAGGAGATGGTACACTGACATCTCGTTGCAATACTAAGGGATGCCTCTGAGGTAAAATACAAGGATGTTTTGACGTGGGACCCTGTGATAGCAAGGCTTGAATTCCAGTTATCTAGGTGGAAGAGAGATCTGTTATAAAAGAGGAGAAGACTTACTCTCATCAAAAGCACCATGGTGAATATCTCCCCCATCTATTATATATCTTTGATGACAATGCTTATTAATATTGCCAAGAAGTTGGAGTCCATCCAGTGCAGGTTCTTACGGGATGATTATAAAGAGAGGAGATGCAATTTAGTGGCATGAGATGCAGTAAAACAATTGATTCAATATGGTGGTAAGAGTTTAAGATCTTTGGTTGAGGTTAATAAGGTACTTCAAGGGAGATGACTATGGATGTTTATGTTGGAGCATGATAGCTTGTGGAGGAGGAAGTAAGTGCTAAATTTGGCATGGAGGGATTGGGTTGGTATCCTAGGATTGCTTCTAGGCGCATGGTGTTGGATTATGGAAGAAATATGCTCAGGGAGTGAGAAATTCATGAAGGCACTAAGTGGGGAGTTAGGTCAGGTGAGAGTGAAATTCTGGTATGATTTGTGGTTAGATGGTGGGATGCTCAAAACCCAGTTTTCTAAGATTTTTTTATTGCTCGACATAATGATGCCAAGGTCCCAGAGCCCTTTGAGGTTTGGGAGGGAATGGTTCATGGACTGTGGAGGTCTCAAGGAACCTTAAGGTTGGGAGATTAATGAGTACGAATGTCTTCTGATGGTTCTATCCAAATATACTTCTAATAAGGACGAGGACTTTCCTATTTGGAGGCTCCAAAAGAATTTTTACTGTTAAAACCTTTTACTTGCATCCAGCTAAAAGGAATGGAATTACCATAGAGTTGCTTGCAAAGCTGATCTGGAAGGTTAAGGCATCGCACAAATTAGCCTTTTTTAGCTTGGGAGGCTACTAGAGAGTGCATCTCAATTTTGATAAGCTGATTAAGATCAGAGGAATATTGGTAAATAGTTGATGCCTGTATATTGTGCACACTGTCATTAATGTCTTCTTTTACCTACACATTGGTTTATGGCAAAGTTACTGGTACATTTGCACACTATTCTTACGTTGATATGCATGAATCGCATTATTTTATAAACTCTTTCATATCCAGATGTTAAACTCCTGTTAGTATTTTGTTTCCAGATTGACAAGGTGAATGATAGTGTCATCAGAAGGGCTGTACGAAGGGTTTCTTTCACATTTCGGAAGGTATGCATATCATTTAGTTTTCTATTGGTTGTCTGCTTGCTTGTGAATCTCAATAGTAATGTTGCTCTCTTGCAAAGCATGCAAAAGACTTATATAGATTTCTATTTAAATAATTTAATCAAGTTGTCTGTAACATTATCCACCATGGTGACTAATCCTGTGGCATTCGAACTTTTTTTTATGATCGATTAAGTCATGGGTTTATTAATGTTGAAATTAGTGGAACGGGCGATTAGGATTCATTCAAGAGAATCTTTCCACTTTTAGTTAGATACTCTTTTTTTTAATAGAAGAAGACTAGATACTCTAATTTTTGTTTTTGATAAATTCTTTGGTATTCATTTTATTGATGCAATATCTTACATATATAGGGAAGATCAGTGTTGCTAGTTTCTTGATATTGCAAGATTTATGAAGGAAAGTCAATTAACTATTTATTTTATATTTAAGATTGTTAGCTATAATTTTAGGATTAATTATTTATTCTACATTTAAGATGATTGGTTATAATTTTAGGTTGTAGGAATATTTTGTAGTATTTTATAAATTTTTTATATTTAGATGATTAAATT